GAGCTGCTGGGTCAGGGATGGGGACCCAGAGATGGGGGATCTTCTAACCCAGGCCCACGTCCCCACCATCATTTATTCTGGTTCCCTTGAGGGGTTGGACTGTTTCTCTCCCCACTGCTCTCTGTCTTCTAACCACTGCTTCTCTGCACCTTGGCCCACTGAAGAACACTGTGGGCTCCTACGGGATTCCTTGATGACGTACCTGGTATATTTTACACTCTAATACGTTTTTTGGATTTTGCTACTAGCAACACTGGAAAAGATTTAGGAAATAAAAAGGCTGCACCCTAACCCTTCCTGACTTTCACTTGGAAAAGATAAAGTTATCAGTGAGGTGGTATCTTTGACTCAACAGGATTGATTTTCCACGTGCGCCTTCCTTTGCCGCCTAACTGAAGGCCTCGGGACTTTGCCAGGCAGGTTCTCCAACCTGAAGTTCATTTCCACGATGCTCTTCCCAGCACCCTCGAACCCAGCACTGATTGTGGCCCCATCTGGACTGCTCGGCACCCACGCAGCCCCCAGAGGGACCTGAAGGGACTCGGCCCTCCCCACAGCAGTGACAGGGCCTGATCCAAGCCAGGCCGACCCGACTCTCTTGCATTGGATCCTAAGAGAGGTAACAGAGAGACGAAACAAATGAGCTGGGAGCCCGTTCGGCCCAGCGTCACAGCCTTCACAATTCTTCCAGGAGTGCCTCCTCCACAGGCTTCCGGGGCCGACCTGGCTCCTGCCCCTTGGTAGGTTGATTCTGTGGGTTCCTAATTCTGTGAGTCCCCCATGGCCTTCTAATGAAGCCTGTTACACAGGTCAGCCCGAGTCAGGGTCTCCTGCTGCACCCACAAAGCCCAACTGATAAAGCAGATCCACAGCCTCAGCCTTTTGTCACCAGCCCTCAGCCACTGCCTCGGCCAGCATCACCCGCGGCTCCACACCTGCGGGCTGTCACCACCACTGACACGGACCCAGCCTGCACTGGTGCCGCAGACCCGGAGCTGCAGGCAGCCCTTCCACCTGTCCCTGCTCAGTCTCCTGCCACCTCAGTACCAGCTCTTCCTAGTTGACCAAACTCCTGAGTCTAGACCATCCTCTCGGCAGCAGACCTGGAACTTCATGTAATACATAGAAACCACCAAGCGTAATCGTCCTCTTCTCTGCCTCCTGAGCTGAGTGTTATCTTTGCCTCCCTTTCTTCAGACACAGATGAAGGGTTGTCCCTCCTGCCTTCCCAGGCCTGCTCTCCGGCTCCAGCTGCTCAGTTCCCCTCCGTCTTCAGTCTCCCCTCAGCCACTCACCCACAGTCATCCTGATTCTAGAAGGCCTTTCCCATCAAACATTCCCCACCAGGTCACGGTCCAGCTCACACCTCACCTTCTCCAACTTGCTCCTCACCCCTGCCTCTGCAATTTACAAAAACCCCAGTCAGGCTTCTGCTCCCACCAACCTCACCTAAGGCCACTGAATTGCTCTTATGAAGGTCACCAGGGACTAGCCAAAGTCCAGATCAGAGAGTTTCATTTTAGTCCTTAGCCCAAGAGACAACTGTGGCAAAGTGCTAAGTTGCTGCAAAATAAAAATCTTTCAGAACCGAATGCCCCAACTGTCCTCATTCTCCCTTGCAGCTAAATGTGTTCACGTGACTAAGTCCTGGTCTGTGACCAGAAGGGAAGGGAACGACATCTGGGTCACATCCCTAAAAGGAATGGCATTTCCCGACTTCCACATCCCACTGCCTGCCACCTGGGTTGTGGCTGTGACACGGTCCACCTCTGACACATCTGCCATGAGCATGAGACCTACACCCTGGGGATGCAGAAAAACAAGACATAAGGAGCCAGGGCCCCAGTGATCTCAGGAAGCGCTACTGCCCTACCTCCCTGAGCTCAGCGAGACTGACTGAGGGGCTGAGGATCACAGGGCCAGATCAAACCCCAGGCCCCAGCTTAGTACCCCTCCCAGTATGCTCCATGGTAGAGTCAGCTCTGGGAGGGTGGGCTCCAACAGCCTCCAGGACCGCACGCCCATGGTAGCCTCTGCTATCGGGTATCAGTCTAGCCACCAAAACCTCAGCTCGGCAGAGTCTAAAAGCAGAAACTGACAGGTATATATAGAATAGATAAACAAGAGAAGATTATACTGTACAGCACAGGGAAATATATACAAGATCTTGGGGTAGCTCATGGTGAAAAAGTACGCGACAATGAATATATGTATGTTCATGTATAACTGAAAATTGTGCTCTACACTGGAAATTGACACAATGTTGTAAACTGACTGTAACTCAGTAACATAAAATTTTAACAAAAATTTAAAAAATAAAAATAAAAATATTTCCAGGAGCTCAGTGTGTACATACTTACCTTGTTTGGGATTGTCTTTCTCCTCCTGAAGCACTGAAACTTCTCTTTAAAGTGCCTGAAACAAGAAAATAAAAATAACTTCACATTTTCCTGCTGCAAATGTTTCATTTATTCGCTCCTTTGTTTGTTTAAAAAATCTCTAAGCAACTGTACCTACTGTGAAGACTGTCCTCCCTTAGGAAAGCATCAGCTGAAATATCATGTTGCAAATTACTGATTACTTGACAGGTTTTTTAAGGGTCTATCCCTAAAGAAAAGGTGCTAAACAAAGAAACTCCATTATTATCAGCTAACAAAGTACAATAAAGTATTTATGTCAGAATCATCCTATATCCCTTGCCAAGCAGCGATAAGTAACCACATGCAAATTAAGGGTCCAGCTTTCCCTTCCTCACTTCCCCACCGACCCCTTGTCCTTGTTACTGGGGATGGACAACCCTGAGTTCATCTCAAAACAGTCAGTGATTAATTGCTTCCAGGTCTTGCTACATATGTTTAAATGCATGAGTATTCTTATTGCAAAATATTTATGTTTTCCCAGTTGGAAATCAAGATATTTTATTTAGCAGCCTGGAATTTATAGGGAAAACAGAACAGGGTGTTGGAAATCGTGACTGTCCCAGAAAACCCAGAACATCTATTCTCCATTTTGATGAACCAATTAATTTTGGAAAGGGATGAAGGATGAAACAAAATCTTTAGGCTTTTATTCTGATGCTCAGAGAGAACATCCTAAACCTTCTTTTACGAAATGTTCGCAGTATAGTCACTGATGAGACGGGATTATTTACACTTAATCAATTTCAGAGTATTTCTACTTATCCTCTTTAATATTCCATCAACTTAGTCTTTAAAAGAATCATTCTTATCTCTCCATTAACTATTTTAGCTGGTCTTTTCTTTCAGTTTCAGATTTGTTGGGTGAGATTTGTTGAGTCAACTGAATTCTATCTTACTATAAGGAACATTCTTTACAATTTATTTAAATGTATCTTAACCATTTTCTTTACTGTTTCAAATTAAGAGTAAAGGTTCATTTTTACTGAATTTACCTAGCATTTTCCTGTAATTCTACACAATTAAAACATTTATTTTACTTTAGAGTTTTAAGTATAATACATCCCTTTGCATTACTTTAAATAAAGTTGTATGAAACAGTCTACACCAAGACGAATTTCTTCTCCAGGTTTCTAACCTCCAATCAACAGACTCATAGAAGGTCACCTCCATTATTCTTTGGGTTGTTAAGTCTGTTTCCAAATAAGTTATCTCCACTCCCCAGTTAGAACCTGCATTTGCTGCAAGAAATAAGGAAACTATTCATTTGACAGGAGGCAGTGGAAGACCACAGTGCTGTTGGCCTCTGGGCTTTGTCAGAGTAACAGACACACATGTCCTAATTAATGTGCACTGCACCTAGGAAGCAAACCACTCAGTTATATGTGTGGTGACAACTACCTGACTCCTGGGTACCAGTCCCAAACCACTACCTTCTGGAACCCTACAAACAGAAAAAGAAGCCTTACTGAATGTAGATTCCTTCAAAGGGCTTGAACTGGAGATGCTGGAGTTATCCAAAATGTCCAATTCATCATCGAGCTCTGAATATATATCTGCACAGTAATAAAAAATAAAAAGTAAATGAACCTTGAAACAGAAGGGAGTCAAGGGTGCATTCATGCTGTAACCCTTTCACTAGAAATACCTTTGTCAATATTTTCCAGGTTGAAAGTATCATCTGACAAGATTCCGTCACAGGCCCTGTCTTCGTCCTTCCCACAGGGGGCCTGGAAGCCCTCAGGGGGCAGGTCTGAGCTTTCTGAAAGCTCACTTTTCAGGCTGCCTGCTCCACTGCTGCTGCTACTCAAGCTTGCCTTCTCAAAGGTTTCCTGAAAGAGAAATTCAGTTTTTAATACCCACTTCTTTCTTTCTTCTGCGGGACCTAAACCTCATTAGAATATATCTTAAAAGGACTAAAGTATCATTACAAATATTGGTGCTGAAGTCACATCAGTGGGTCCACTGACACATATGCTATAAAGTTCATGGAGTCCATGATGACAAAAAAAGTGGGTCTGCAAGCTAACACTGGACAAAAAAGAATGGGTGTGGCAAAGTGTTTAGTAGCAAAGGTCTGCGCTGTCTGGTGAAAGAAAAGTTAGCACTAAGGAATAGATGTGCAGAACAATTCTGGAGGTAGGTGGCCAAGATGCAAGAGTAGAAAGGTGCTGAGCTCACCTCCTCCCTCAGGCATACCACAATGCCAAGCACTTACAGAGCGACTGGTGGTGAGAAAGACTGGAATCCAGAAGAAAATATGTTCTACAACTAAAGGTATAAAGAAGGGGCAGTTGGATCAGGGTGACAGACTAGAAGGATGTGGAACTCATCTCCTCCCACAAATACATCAAAAACACTTCTACTTGTGGAATACAGTGCTCACAGAATGCTTAACTCTGACAGAATATCTCATACAATCAAAACTTCTCCTATGAGACAGATCACCATGTAACTGGGTGGGACAAAAAAAAAAAAGAATCGGGATGGGACCTGTGCCCCTGGGAGGGAGCTATGGAAGAGGGAAGGTTCCCTCACCTTTGGAAGCCTATTCACCAGTCGGGAGACTAGCTGGGACAGAAGGGAACTTCAGAGGCTCGGAGGAGAGAGCAGTCCTCGATATGCAGCAGACAGAACAGGGGGCCCAGCACAGAGGATGTGTGCCATCTTGCTCATTCTCCAGCCTAAGACACATGTCCACTAGTGTGTGGTGGCTAGGTGCTGACCTGGGCTTCAGAGGAAGGACTCCAGGCAGAGAAGTGGGGTTGGCTGGGTGGAGACAGCCTGAAGGGGCTGGAGTGTGGTACAGGCCACAACTGAGAGAGTGTGAAAGGGAGCCTGCATCTGCCATAAAGAGCCCCACAGTTAACAAGCACACACAAAGGGAGGGGCAGGACACTGACTGCAGCAGAAAGAATGAAAAAAGATGAAGGCAATATAAGAGACCCATGGGAAAATGTAAAGCATGCCAATCTATGCATGATAGAGGCCCGAGAAGGAGAAGAGAAAAGGGGGTCAAAACATATTTGAAAGAATTATGACTGAAAACTTTCTGACGCTGTAGAAGGAAACAGATATCCAGGTACAGGAAGTGGAGAAGGTCTCAAGCAAGATGAACCCAAAGAGAACTAAGGCATATTAAAATTTAAATGGCAAAAGTCAAAGCTAAAGAGAGGATTCAAAGGCAGCAAGAGGAAAACAAAGAGTTAGCTACAAGGGATCCCCTCCTATAAGGCTATCAGCTGATTTCTCTACAGAAATGTTGCAGGCCAGAAGGGAGTGGCACGGTACATCCAAAGTCCTGGCAGAGAAAAACCTGCAACCTAGGATACCATGCCCAGAAAGGTGAATATTTAGAATAGGGGAGACAGATAATTTCTCAGACAACTAAAAATTAAAATAGAACAATACTAAACCTATCCTAAAATAAATATTGGAAGGTCTTCTCTGAGTAGAAAAGAAGCAAGAATCTATAGAAAAGAAAACTGTAACTAGAAAAGCAAATGATAACTACCATGAACAGCAAAAAGATAAACATGAAGATGTAAAAGAGAACATCAAATCACAAAATGTGGACGAGGTGAATAATAAAATGCAGATTTTTTCTTTTTTTTTTAATAACGTATTTGAGCTTACATGATGACCAGTCTAAACCAAGTATATATAGTAATGGGTTAACATATATGAAAAACATGGTAACCACAAACCAAAACCATATAATAGAGTCACAAAAACCCAAAAGAAGAAAACTCAAGTATAATATGAAAAACATCAAACCACAAAAGAAAAAGAAACAAAGAAGAAATATAAAACCAACAGGAAAACATGGTTTAAAATGGCAATAAATACGTATCTATCAATAACCACTTTAAATGTCAATGAACTAAATGTTCCAATCAAAAAGCAAAGGGTAGGAGATGGATAATAAAATAAGAGCCTACAATATGCTGCTCTTATATACTTCAATACAAAAAATATATAAAATATACTGCTTACAAGACACTCAGTTTAGGGTGAAAGTCAACAGATTGAAAATGAGGGGATGGAAAAAGATATGTCATGTAAATGGAAATGAAAAGAAAGCAGGGGTAGCAATGCTTGTATCAGACAAAACAGACTTTAAAACAAATTGTATAAAGAAAGATAAGGATGGACACTAGCTAATGATAAAGGAACAACAAGATGAGGATATTACACTCATTAACATATATGCACCCAATATAGGAGCAGCTAAATATATAAAGCAAATACTAACTGACATAAAGGGAGAAACTGAGGTGAATACAGTAATAGTAGGAGACTTTAGTACCCCACCAACATCACTGGACAGATCTTCCAGACAGAAAACCAATAACACAATGGAATACTAAATGACACAACAGATCATTTAGACTAATTGATATTTTCAGGATATTACATTCGAAAAAGAAGAAGCCAGAACACACATTCTTTTCAAGTGCACATGGAACATTCTTTAGACTAGAACAAACACTAGGTCACAAAACAAGCCTCAACAAATTTAAGAGGACAGAAATTACATCAAGTATCTTTTCTGACCACAAATACATGAGATTAGAAAACAACTAGAGTGAGAAAAAAAAAGTTGCCTGGTGACTAAACAACATGATACTAAAAAACAAATGGGTCAACAATAAAATCAAAGAGGAAATTTAAAAATCCCTTAAAACAAATGACAATGAAAACACAACCACATAAGATCTATGAGATGCAACAAAAGCAGTCCTAAGAGGGAAGTTAACAGTGATACAGGCCTTCCTTAAAAAACCAGAAAAAAATCAAATAACCAACCTAACCTACCACCTAAAACAATAACAAAAAGAAGAACAAATAAAATCTAAAGCTAGTAAAAGGAAAGAAATAATAAAGATCAGAGAGGAAATAAATAAAATAGAAAATAAAAAAATCAATCAAATCAAGAGCTGGTTTTTTTAAAGACTAAACAAAATAAAAAACCTCTGGCCATGTTCACCAAGAAGAAAAGAGAAAGAGAAATCAAAAAACAAATTAAGAAATGAAAGGGGAAAATCCTCAACAAAATATTAGCAAACAGAATCCAAAAACACATAAAAAAATTATACATCATTATCAAGTTGGGTTCATCTCAGGGACACAAGGATGGTTCAACATATGCAAATGAATCAATGTGATACACCACATCAACAAGAGAAAGGACAAAAATCACACGATCATCTCAATAGACGCAGAAAAAGCATTTGATAAAATTCAACATCTATTTATGATAAAAACTCTTATCAAAGTGGGTATAGAGGGAACGTATCTCAACATAATAAAACCTTTATTAAAAACCTATAGCAAGCATAATACTCAAAGGTGAAAAGCTGAAAGACTTCCCACTAAAATCTGGAAAGGGACAAGGATGCCCATTCTCATCACTTCTATTAAATATAGTACTAGAAGTCCTAGCCATAGCAATTAGACAAGAAAAAGAAATAAAAGGGATCCAAATTAGAAGAGAAGAGGTAAAACTGTCATTACATGCAGATGACATGATACTATATATATAAAAAACTCTAAAGGCTCCACACAGAAACTACTAGAGCTGATAAAGGATTCAGCAAGGTAGAAGGAAGCAACATCAACATACAGAAATCAGCTATATCTCTTTACACTTACAAATAGCAGGAACAGAAAGTAAAGAAACAATCCCTTTTAAAATTACATCCCCAAAAATAAATACTTAGGAATAAACCTGGCCAAGGAAGTGAAAGATTTATACGTGGAGAACTACAAAACACTGACTAAGAAAATTAAAGATGACTTAAAGAAATGGAAAGGTATCCCATGCTCTTGGATTGGAAGAATCAATATTGTTAAAATGGTCACACTGCCCAAGGCAATCTACAGATTTAATGCAATCCCTATCAAATTACCCAGGATATATTTCACAGAACTAGAACAAATCATAATAAAATTTATATGGAACCATCAAAGACCTAGAATTGCCAAAGCATTACTGAAGAGAAAGAAAGAGGCTGGAGGAATAACTCTCCCAGACTTCAGACAATACTACAGAGCTACAGTCATCAAGACAGCATGGTATTGGTACAAAAACAGACATATAGACCAATGGAACAGAATAGAGAGCCCAGAAATGAGCCCACAAACTTTTGGTCAACTAATCTTTGACAAAGGAGGCAAGAACATACAATGGAATAAAGACAGTCTCTTCAGCAAATGGTGTTGGGAAACCTGGACAGCTGCATGTAAATCAAGAAATTAGAATACTCCCTTACACCATACACAAAAATAAACTCGAAATGGCTTAAAGACCTAAATATAAGACAAGATACTATAAACCTCTTAGAAGAAAATACAGGCAAAACATTCTTGGACATAAATCTCAGCAATGTTCTCCTAGGGCCGTCTACTCAAGCAATAGAAATAAAGGCAAATATAAACAAATGGGACCTAATTAAATGTATAAGCTTTTGCACAGCGAAGGAAATCATAAGTGAAACAAAAAGACAACCTATGGAATGGGAGAAAATATTTGCAAAAAGTGAGACTGACAAGGGCTTAATTTCCAGAATATATAAATAGCTCATGCATCTTAATAATAAAAAAGTAAACAACCCAGTCCAAAAATGGGCAGAAGACCTAAACAAACAATTTTCCAATGAAGACATACAAATGGCCAATAGGCAGATGAAAAATGCTCAATATTGCTAATTATCAGAGAAATGCAGAACAAAACTACAATGAGGTATCACCTCACACCAGTCAGAATGCCCATCATTCAAAAGTCCACAAATGATAAATGCTGGAGAGGCTGTGGAGAAAGGGGAACCCTCCTACACTGCTGGTGGGAACGCAGTTTGCTGCAACCACTGTGGAAAGCAGTAT